ACACACACACACACACACACACACACACACACACGTGCACACACACGCATAGTGAAACAACCGTAGTTTATTTATCTATTTATTTTTTACCCAGATCGGAGTCTGAAAAACTTGTTTTTCTTGTTAACTGTGGAGATGAAAAGAAGATGTGGACAGTTGCTCGCTCTTAAGTCCGTTTTGCTAATTTAACAGTCGGGGTCTAGTACTCTGTGATCGGCACACAGCAGATCATTTCAGCAGGACAAGGAAGTTCACCTGTATGGCAGGCCGCTGTTGTACTTAATCAACTTCACCACAGTTACATTCCAAGTATCTGAAATAGGATCTTCTGGGTCTCAGGAGGATAAAACTAGACATATTAGATATTTAAGTGAAATAATATAAGATGATAAGATTCAACTAATGCTAATGAAATTGCTGACTTTTATGTGCTATTATTAAAAAAATCTGCACAGCTTTTTGATAAATATCAGTAATATTTCTGTTTTTAATCATTATTCTCTGTTCATCATTCTGGTTTATCCAAGGCCAAAGATCCATAGAGTTGTACAGGAGTTGTCCATCTGAGGGACAKGTGTCTAAAGAAATTAAACCATGAAATGTTTAAGATATTTATAAGACTTTCAGCCCTTAAACATTTGTACTTAGAATTTTATAGAATCACTTTAAATACTTTTCAGTAAGTTAAATGTCTACAATTCTGGTTCAAATAAAGAACTTCCTGTTTACTAGATTAACTACCGTATTTTCCAGACTATAAGCCACACCCCCCATAAAAAAAAATCAGTAAACATTAACGTATAAGCCGCACCGGACTATAAGCCGCATTGTTCAAAGTTCAGGAAAAAAGTCGCGGCTTGTAGTCAGAAAAATACGGTAATTATTTTCGATTTAATGTTGCCTTAATGAACAGTGATTAAACAATAACCTGTAAAACTCTGACATTAAATGTGACATGTTTGAAAATTTGGGTGCACCTRACTTTTGTGCTGGTGCGCCTAAGAAAAAATGTTAGGTGCACCGGTGCAACCAGTGCAAAAAGTTAATCTAGAGCCCGGTCCTAAATCAGGAAATGTGAAAAAGCTGAAATTACCACTTTATTTCAGTAATTACAGAACTTCTACTTCTAACAGATCCTGCAACGTTGTTGCAGTTATTATTATTTTATATCTTCTAATGTGAGATATTTGTTTCCACGTCACTTTGACATCCAGACCTGCCTGTGGCAAACCGTGATGTTAGAGAACGATCAAAACATCTGAAAGTTTTCTCTTTGTCTTGTAGCTGTTTGAGTTTTATGAGCGGGTGTCTGGAGCCAGGATGCACGCTGCGTACATCAGACCAGGAGGCGTTCATCAGGTGGGACAGCCACTGAATAGTCTTATTTTTTTATAGAAACTGTCAGTGAAGAACAAACTTTGAATGGACAATCACAAAGACATATATTCTATGTTTTATTGCTTCATCAGTCATGATCAGACAGAAATGAGTGAAACATTGTTGACTGTTGTAGGATTTGCCCCTCGGTCTCATGGATGACATCTATGAGTGGTGCAAGACCTTCTCAATGCGAATTGATGAAGTTGAAGAGGTACACAAGTCCATAGATATATAATGRTTTGAACAATATTAAATGCATGTAGTTAAGTCATCATTCTGTTGGATAATGTGCAGTTGTTGTCCAACAATCGTATTTGGAAACTACGCACAGAAGATATCGGGATCATCAGCGCTGAAGATGCCCTCTTCTATGGCTTCAGGTAAATCTCCAGTCGAGCAGCAAGGGAACGAGGGTAACCTAAAATAACATAGAAACATGAATTTATTTTCTTGCAGCCCTGACACATAAACCCTGACTTGTATCTTTTTGTCTCCTGACTCTTCCATCAGTGGTGTGTTGCTGCGAGGCTCAGGAATCAAGTGGGACTTGAGGAAGTCTCAACCTTATGACAAGTACGATGAGGTGGAATTTGATATTCCAATTGGAAGCAAAGGAGACTGCTATGACAGGTAACAGATTCATGAATAATTCAATTAATAAACAAAGAAAGTAATAAACGTTACTGTAGGAGTGCATCTCTTCTTCAGTTTTATCTTACCTGCTCCAGTCTGCCCTTCGTAATCTTTCTGCAGAAATATAAAAATTTGTAGAGCAAGTATGTAAGCCTCAACTTCAGCCTGTTTCTTTTGTGGTAAATTAATGCTTTGTAAAATAGCATTTTCATTTTACTTCCTTTATTTTTGTAATGTAAATTTACTGAAATAAATCTCTTCTAAAATCTGTGTGCATCTACCGTATTTTTCGGACTATAAGCTGCGACTTTTTTCCTGAACTTTCAACCATGCGGCTTATAGTCCGGTGCGGTTCATACGTGGATTTTTTTCTTCAGCCACCAGGGGGCCTCTCATGCTCCATTTGCTTCAACCACTCGCTACGAAAAAAAAGAAGAAAAAAGCGATCGCTTCCAGAGCCGACTGTTGTACCAGGAAGCAGCGATTTTTAAAGATAGTCAATGGCCAAAAACTCATAAAAGGGGATAAAACAGACATTTTTCATGGTGGAATCTGACTGATAAAAACTTTGGAGCTTAATCCAGGACCAGTTTGTGGATAAACATCAAGTGAAGAGCCGCAGACTTTTTTTTTCGGCATTGCACTCCCCGGGGAAGGAATCCCATGCAGTGACATTTGCTGGAGCGGGAGGGCTTTCCCAGCAGCAGCTAGACTCAGGGTTTCTCGGGGGAACTATGAAAGGTCAGTGCGAAAACGAATGCTGAACAGCCACGTGACGGCACGTCCACCTGTCAACAGC